CCTGAGCAGGGGGCTGGATTAGAAGACCTCCAAGGTCCCTTCCAGCTTCTATTCTATTCTATTGTATTCTATTCTATTGTATTCTATTCTATTCTATTCTGTAATTCTATTCTATTCTATTCCGTAATTCTATTGTATTCTATTCTATTCTGTAATTCTATTCTATTCTGTTCTATTCTATTCTATTCTATTCTATTCCATAATTCTATTCTTTTCTATTCTATTCTATTCTGTAATTCTATTCTATTCTTTTCTATTCTATTCTGTAATTCTATTCTTTTCTATTCTATTCTGTAATTCTATTCTATTCTTTTCTATTCTATTCTGTAATTCTATTCTTTTCTATTCTATTCTGTAATTCTATTCTATTCTATTCTATTCTATTCTGTAATTCTATTCTATTCTATTCTGTTCTATTCTATTCTATTCTATTCTATTCCGTAATTCTATTCTTTTCTATTCTATTCTATTCCGTAATTCTATTCTTTTCTATTCTATTCTATTCCGTAATTCTATTCTATTCCGTAATTCTATTCTATTCTATTCTATTCTATTCTATTCTATTCTATTCTATTCTTTTCTATTCTATTCTGTAATTCTATTCTATTCTATTCTATTCCGTAATTCTATTCTTTTCTATTCTATTCTATTCCGTAATTCTATTCTATTCTATTCTATTCTATTCTATTCTATTCTATTCTATTCTATTCTGTAATTCTATTCTATTCTATTCTGTAATTCTATTCTATTCTATTCTATTCTATTCTATTCTATTCTGTAATTCTATTCTATTCTATTCTATTCTACTCTACTCTACTCTAAAGGTTTTCTGCAGTCTGTGTGTTTTTCCTCTGGGGTAGGGATCTGACTCTTCCCTTCCGTTCGTTCTCCTGCTGCTTTCCAGGAAACGTTCCATCCGTCCTTGGCTTGTGGTGGAGCAGGACAATGGAGGTCTCCCAGGGGAGGAGGCAGGCGGCCCTTCTGTCCTCTTCCTTTCCTTCAGGAAACTGGGGGCTGAATCCAAGGGAGGGGGGGCTTCCCACCACTGACCCTCTTCCTGCAACAGGATGCGCTGATTGTCTTAGAGGTGGGTGGCCAGCCCTAGATCCCAGCTGGAGATCCCCTTTTGGTTGCAGGCATGTTGCCCCCCCAAGGTGCAAAAAAAAACCCCTCTAGTAGTTAAAGCAGGAAACCGCAAGACCTTGCCATGGCTAAGAGCAGGAAAATTTAATTAGAGCGGTAATAATCCTTCCCGTGATCTTGATTCTATCCCTCTGTTCGTGCAACTTAAGATTGTATTGGCTTTTTCCCCTAGAACAGTGTTTCCCAAACTTGACCATTTTATTGGCTTTTTCCCCTAGAACAGTGTTTCTCAACCTTGACCATTTTAAGGCATGTGGACTTCAACTCCCAGAATTCCACAGCCAGCAATGCTGGCTGTTGAATTCTGGGAGTTGAAGTCCACATGCCTTAAAATGGTCAAGTTTGGGAAACACTGCGAACTAAGGAGAAATTTCCTGTTAGAACAGTGAACCAGAGGGACAGAAGTTGCCTTCAAAAGTTGTGGGTGCTCCATCACTGGAAAGACTGGACAGCCATTTGTCCAGAATGGCATAGGACAGCCAACTGCTTGAGCAGGGGGTTGGACTAGAAGAGCAAATCAACCAATCAACAAAGAGGATCAGGGGACTGGAAGCCAAAGCATATAAGGAACAGTTGCTGGAATTGGGTGTGTCTACTTTAATGAAGAGAAGGACGAGGGGGGACAGGATAGCAGTCTTCCAATATCTCAGGGGCTGCCCCAAAGAAGAGGGAGTCAAGCTATTTTCCAAAGCGCCTGAAGGCAGGACAAGAAGCAACGGATGGAAACTGATCAAGGAGAGAAGCAACCTAGAACTAAGGAGAAACTTCCTGACAGTTAGAACAATTAACCAGTGGAACCACCTGCCTCCAGAAGCGGTGAATGCTCCAACCCTGGAAGTTTTTAAGAAGAGACTGGACAGCCATTTGTCCGAAATGGTATAGGGCAGGGGTAGGCAACCTTGGCTCTTTTATGACTGGTGGACTTCAGCTCCCAGAATTCCTGAGCCAGTCATGCTGAGGGGAAAGGGAGAGGTTTCCAAGCTGAGCTATGCTGGCTCAGGAATTCTGGGAGTTGAAGTCCCCAAGTCATGAAGGGGCCAAAGTTCTCCCATGTTGGCTCAGGAATTCTGGAAGTTGAAGTCCCCGAGTCATGAGGGGGCCATAGTTCCCCCATGCTGACTCAGGAATTCTGGGAGTTGAAGTCCAGGAGTCATGAGATGGCCATAGTTCCCCCATGCTGACTCAGGAATTCTGGGAGTTGAAGTCTACCAGTCATGAAGGGGCCATAGTTCCCCCATGCTGGCTCAGGAATTCTGGGAGTTGAAGTCCTCGAGTCATGAAGGGGCCATAGTTCCCCCATGCTGGGTCAGGAATTCTGGGAGTTGAAGTCCGCAAGTCATAAAAGAGCCAAGGTTTCTTGCCTGAGCAGAGGGTTGGACTAGATGACCTCCAAGGTCCCTTCCAACTCTTGTTATTCTGCTATCTGGCTTCAGTTTGCATTCTGGCTGGCTCAGAAGCTGAATCAGGGCACCCACAAGGACTGGGGGTGCAGAGGTGGGGGGGGACTGGCTTCTCTCCATAATCCCCTTCCCTGCTTGATCCCATTTCCCTCCGTTGGGAATTTTCCCACCCTTCCGAATGGAGAGCCGTAGCCAGGCCAGGGTTTACCCAGGTCAAACTTGCTCGGGCCACGCAGAGGGCAGCCTCCCCAGGCACACCCTGCGGTCACTTCCTGCAGCTTTTCGCTGGTTTCCTGAGGTTCTCACGGGTCTGCTTGTTGCAATCATGCAAAGATGGCTTGAGCTTAAGGCAATGTTGGGTTCCTGCCACTGTGAAGTGGAGCAGGCTGGGTTTTCAAACCATAGTGCAATCTTGGCCACTTTTAAGACTTCTGGACCAACTCCCAGAATTCCCCAGCCAGCGATCTTGGCGCCTTTAAAACTTGTGGAATTCAACTCCCAGAATTCCTCAATCAGCAATCTTAGCCACTGTGAGACTTGTGGACTTCAACTCCCAGAGTTCCCCAGCCAGCGTTCTTGGCGCCTTTAAAACTTCTGGACTTCAACTCCCAGAATTCCCCAGCCAGCAATCTTGGCCACTTTAAGACTTGTGGAATTCAACTCCCAGAATTCCTCAATCAGCAATCTTAGCCACTGTGAGACTTGTGGACTTCAACTCCCAGAATTCCCCAATCAGCAATTTTGGCAACTGTGAGACTTGTAGACTTCAGCTCCCAGAATTCCCCAGCCAGCCATGCTGGCTGGGGAATTCTGGGAGCTGAAGTCCACAAGTCTTAAAGTGACCAAGTTTGAAGACCTCTGTTATAGTGAATCTGGAATAGCTTCTTTCTTTCTTTCTTTCTTTCTTTTTAGACATAAAAATCATCCTTTTTCTCCATTTCTTACTTGAAATATTTAGCCTTTTGTTTACTGGCTTTGAACAGCTGTTAGCCCTCCAAGTGGCCTCAGGGATCTCAGAGAGAGTGCTAATGAGCAGATGACTGCAAGGGAGAGAGAGAAAGCCTTCCATTCTCCACCATTCAGTCAGAACCGAGGAAGCTTCTGGGACGAGAAGCGACACGTCTTCAAGGAAAAACAAAGGAAGCCCAGTTGCCTTTTGAGAAAGCCCCCTTTGGGGCAACCGTGAGCTGGATGGCTGAGAGTCTGCCTGGACACCTTCTTGGGTCACTCTGAACAATCTCTCCAACCAGCCCGAGATCTCAGTCGGAGAGCACCCCCAAAATTCAGAAGCACCCTCTATTTAGCCAGATTCAAGAGGTTTCTCAGCAGGCAGGTTTCCATTTTGCAGATCTAGTGTTTTCTGCCTGGGGGATTCTGGGAGTTGAAGTCCACAAGCCTTAAAGTGGCCAAGAACTCCGGCTTGGGAATTCAGGGAGTTGAAGTCCAGAAGTCTTAAAAGTTGCCAAGATTGCTGATTGAGGAATTCTGGGAGTTGAAGTCCAGAAGTCTTAAAGTGGCCAAGAACGCTAGCTGGGGAATTCTGGGAGTTGAAGTCCACAAGTCTCACAGTGGCCAAGATTGCTGATTGAGGAATTCTGGGAGTTGAGGTCCAGAAGTCTTAAAGGCGCCAAGATCGCTGGCTGGGGAATTCTGGGAGTTGAAGTCCACAAGTCTTAAAGTGGCCAAGAACGCTAGCTGGGGAATTCTGGGAGATTCTGGGAGTTGAAGTCCAGAAGTCTTAAAGTGGCCAAGAACGCTAGCTGGGGAATTCTGGGAGCTGAAGTCCACAAGTCTCACAGTGGCCAAGATTGCTGATTGAAGAATTCTGGGAGTTGAAGTCCAGAAGTCTTAAAAGTTGCCAAGATTGCTGATTGAGGAATTCTGGGAGTTGAAGTCCAGAAGTCTTAAAGTGGCCAAGAACGCTAGCTGGGGAATTCTGGGAGTTGAAGTCCACAAGTCTCACAGTGGCCAAGATTGCTGATTGAAGAATTCTGGGAGTTGAAGTCCAGAAGTCTTAAAGGCGCCAAGATCGCTGTCTGGGGAATTCTGGGAGTTGAAGTCCACAAGCCTTAAAGTGGCCAAGTTTGGAGAACAAGCAACGTCTAACCAAAACGTTCCTCCCCCACTGGACCCGTCAGCTCTTCTCCAAACCGGAAAGCTGCTGGTGCCCCCCCCCCGCACACACACACACACACCCCTAAACGGAGAAACGATCAGCCGACTCGGGCATCCAGGTTCGGCCGGTGGGACTCCAGGGCCACGACCCCCGCCCCGCGTGTCTCTTGCCTACTAAGCCCACCCAAAGACCCACGGGAGGGGGGGGACACGCCGGAATAGTCAGGGGTGGGGGGGCATCGAGTGACCGGGAAGAGAAGCGCCGGGCTGCTCCCCCCCCACCTCCCCGGCGGGCTCCAGCAGGGGCGGCGGGGAGGGGGCAAAGGCGGACCCCTCCCCGATTCGAGGGCCCCTCCCCCGCCGAGCTCCAGATGGGGGTCAGGAAGCGGCGCGGATCCGCTTGGAAAGCGCTTTTGAGCGCATCCGCCCGCCTGACTCACGCCGCGGCCCCCGCCAGCCGGGAAGGGGCGCGCCCGCCGCCTTCCCTCCCTCCCTCCTTCCCTGCCCGTCGCTGGACCTGCTCGCTGGGCGCCGGCCGGAGCGGAGCCCAGCGCCGGAGCGGAGAGCGCAGGCAAGTCGGGCGGGGGGCGGACGAGCAGGGCTGGGTGGGTGGCTGGGTGGGTGGGCAGGGCTCCGGCGCAGCCCGATTGCCGCTTGCCTCCCCCCCACCACCACCACCTCCCTGCTCGGCCGGAGGAAGAACTCTGCACGTGCTCGCGGGAATGGGGAAGCGGCGCTGGGGAGCCTGCGAGGAATGCTGGGGTGGGGTGGGGTGGGGTGGGGGATAGGAAGGAAAGAGACCCTCTTTGCCCGAGTCTCCCCCCCCCCCAGGATAGCTGGAGAGGCTATTCCCTTGTCTGGACGGAGTGAAAGGACAAGTCAAGTTGCTAGTCCTCTGGACACCTGCCGGCACCGGGGAAAGCGGGGGGGGGTGTCCTGGTGGGGGACTCTCGGAGAAGCCTAGTTGTTCGCGAGTAGCTACTGCTCAATTCTGCGGCTGGCGTTTTTGGGGGGGCGGCGGCGGGGGGGGAGACTTGGCAGCCAGCCAAGACCTTTGGGCAGCCCGCACCCCCCTCTCCCGCCCGCGCCTGGGTTCACCTGCCAGCCGGACAGCCGCGGGCCTGAGCAGCTTGACAGAACCAAACCAGGACCCCCCCCCCAAAAAAGTTTCCCTTGACGGGACGGGTGAAGGGGGTGTCCTTTTGTGCCCCCCCCCTCTTGGAGGGGACTTTTCCCACCCTCTGGCCTTTTGGCTGGCTGCATCGGGCTCGCTCGGACTGATCGCCCCCGGAGCCTGGCGGGGTCTCCTCCTCCGTTGTCTACGCGCGGATTGTCTGACTCACACCTGCGGACTGGCCCAAATTTGGAAGCGCTTTCCTGCGTCCCGCCGTGGAGCGGAGGAGGAGGACCGCGAAGTTTCGCGCTGCACGTGTGTGCCTTGCCTCGGTGTGGTGTGTGTGTGTGTGTGTGCGTGTTGCGTGTGTCGCTTTTCCAGCAATTGGCATTTCCTTCGCCGCTTCCTGCCTCAAGGCAGAAGGGCGCGCCGGGCACCCCTGCCGGACGGGGCTGTTGGTCAGCTCTGCAGCGGCCCCTCCCCGCAGCAGCTGCGCGTCAAGCAGCCCTGTCCCCCCCCTCCAGCTGTTTCACCCGGCAGGGACCCTCTTGCACATCTGCAGCTGCCTTCCGCTCTCACGAGCACCGCAGCAGCAACTAACTATATATACATTTTATAGATATAAAAATAGTATTTAAATCAGGAAGACTATATACAGTATACATGATTTATTTATATCTGTGTGTGTGTGTGTGTGTGTCCAACCTTTTTGGCAACTTTTAAGACTTGTGGACCAACTCACAGAATTCTCCAGCCAGCATGCTGGCTGGGGGATTCTGGGAATTCAAGTCCACAAGTCTTAAAAGTTCCCAAGGTTGGAGACACACACAGACACACACACACACATCCTGATTTATATCGTTCCATCTTTTTAAGAGTGTAAGCTGCGCAGAATTACCCCATGGTAAGATGGGCAACCAATACATTTTAAAAATAAATATGAATAAATATCAAACTTGGACAAGCCATCCGATGGAGGGGGTCCCGCTGAATCCTTGTGGCCCAAGGTCCTTGCTTAGGTTGTTAAAAACTATGTTGGCCACTTCCCCTCTCTCACCTTTCAAGGGATGGAGTCCTTTATCCTTTCCTGCTGAGAAACTGTAGATGGGAAGGGTCCTTGAGGCCATCCAGTCCAACCCCCTGCTCAGTGGGAGCATCCTAATCCAAGTCCATTGACAGATGGTTGTCCAGCCTCCCTTTGACGCAGCAGGGCTCCGAGAGAGGTTCTCAAGAAGAGACTGGACAGCCACTGTCTTGGGCTAGATGACCTCCAGGGTCCCTTCCAGCTCTGTTATTCTCTTATTTGTCTGAACAGGCTTGAGAAGAAGGGGGCTGGACTAGATGACCTCCAGGATCCATTCCAGCTCTGTTATTCTCTTATTTGTCTGAACGGGCTTGAGAAGAAGGGGGCTGGACTAGACAACCTCCAGGGTCCCTTCCAACTCTGTTATTCTCTTATTTGTCTGAACGGGCTTGAGAAGAAGGGGGCTGGGCTAGATGACCTCCAGGGTCCCTTCCAGCTCTGTTATTCTCTTATTTGTCTGAACTGGCTTGAGAAGAAGGGGGCTGGACTAGATGACCTCCAGGGTCCCTTCCAGCTCTGTTATTCTCTTATTTGTCTTAACTGGCTTGAGAAGAATGGGGCTGGACTAGATGACCTCCAGGATCCCTTCCAGCTCTGTTATTCTCTTATGTGTCTGAACGGGCTTGAGAAGAAGGGGGCTGGACTAGATGACCTCCAGGATCCCTTCCAGCTCTGTTATTCTCTGATTTGTCTGAACGGGCTTGAGAAGAAGGGGGCTGGACTAGATGACCTCCAGGATCCCTTCCAGCTCTGTTATTCTCTGATTTGTCTGAACAGGCTTGAGAAGAAGGGGGCTGGACTAGATGACCTCCAGGATCCTGTCCAGCTCTGTTATTCTCTGATTTGTCTGAACGGGCTTGAGAAGAAGGGGGCTGGACTAGATGACCTCCAGGGTCCCTTCCAGCTCTGTTATTCTCTTATTTGTCTGAACGGGCTTGAGAAGAAGGGGGCTGGGCTAGATGACCTCCAGGGTCCCTTCCAGCTCTGTTATTCTCTTATGTGTCTGAACGGGCTTGAGAAGAAGGGGGCTGGACTAGATGACCTCCTGGATCCCTTCCAGCTCTGTTATTCTCTTATGTGTCTGAACGGGCTTGAGAAGAAGGGGGATGGACTAGATGACCTCCAGGGTCCCTTCCAGCTCTGTTATTCTCTGATTTGTCTGAACGGGCTTGAGAAGAAGGGGGCTGGACTAGATGACCTCCAGGGTCCCTTCCAGCTCTGTTATTCTCTTATGTGTCTGAACGGGCTTGAGAAGAAGGGGGCTGGACTAGATGACCTCCAGGATCCCTTCCAGCTCTGCTATTCTGTTACTCTTGCCCTTGGAAGGATCTTTCTAACATTCAACACCCAACGTACTGAGATTTAAACCCAGGATTCCTCGAACCAGGTCTTGCCTTGGTTCTGCGTGAAACTGCTCTGGGTGTCTGAAAAGGACCACCAGCCCCTCCCCCCCTTCTTGGGCTGCTCCTCCCCATTCTGACCCCATTACGTCCCACTCCTCTCAATCGCCCCGGTGGTCTTCCTTGGGACAGCCTCTTCCCCCCCCCCTCGGTCTGGACCTCCTTCCTGTGTGGGGCTGAGAACGGGATCCGGCCTCAAATTCCTGGGTGGGACCCGATCAACATAACGGAGGGAGATTTGGGAGGCGATCCTTCCAGGGATCCGTCTGCAAGCCGGCCTGGCCTCCTCCGCAGACTCGGCGGTGCTGGTGACCCACGTTCAGCTGCTGCTCAGCCGCAGTTGCCCCTTTTCGGTTCTCTGACACGGATCCCAAAAGTCAGTGCCGGCAATCCTGCAAGCCTTAAACCCCCCCCCCCCGTCACTCAGCCCATTCATTCATTGACTGTCCGCCTCTTTTCTAAGCAACTCTTGAGTTCCTTACAGCATCAAAAGCGTAGAAGATAAATATTTCCAAAAAAATAAAAATGGAATTTTTTTACATCTTTTGCATGCCTTGTGAGCATAAGACATTTTTTGTTTTAAAAAAAGGGTGCAGTTTCCGCTGCATAGCGAGGGAAGGAAAGGAAAGGAGAAAGGAAGGAAGGAAGGAAGGAAGGGAGAGAGACAGAGGGAGGGAGGGAGGGAGGGAGGGAGGGAAAGAAAGAAAGAAAGAAAGAAAGAAAGAAAGAAAGAAAGAAAGAGAAAGAAAGAAAAGAGAGGAAGGAAGGAAGGAAGGAAGGAAGGAAGGAAGGAAGGAAGGAAGGAAGGAAGGAAGGAAGGAAGGAAGGAGGAAGGAAAGGAAGGAAGAGAGAGAGAAAGAAAGAAAAAGAAAGAAAGAAAGAAAGAGAGAAAGAAAAGAGGAAGGAAGGAAGGAAAGGAAAGGAGAGAGAGAAAGAAAGAAAGAAAGAAAGAAAGAAAGAAAGAAAGAAAGAAAAAGAAAGAAAGAAAGAAAGAAGGAAGGAAGGAAGGAAAAGGAAGGAAAGGAAGGAAGGAAGGAAGGAAGAGAAAGGAAGGAAGGAAGGGAGAAAGGAAAGGAAGGAAGAGAGAAAGAAAAAGAAAGAAAGAAAGAAAGAAAGAAAGAGAGGGAAGGAAGGAAGGAAGGAAAGAAGAAAGAAAGGAAAGGAAAGGAAAGAAGGAAGGAAAGAAAGAAAAAAGAGGGAAAGGAAAGTAGGGAGTGATGAAGGAAGGAAGGAAGGAAGGAAGGAAGGAAGGAAGGAGGAAGGAAGGAAAGGAAGGAAGAGAGAGAGAAAGAAAGAAGAAGAAAGAAAGAAAGAAAGAAAGAAAGAGAGAAAGAAAAGAGGAAGGAAGGAAGGAAAGGAAGGAAGAGAGAGAGAAAGAAAGAAAAAGAAAGAAAGAAAGAAAGAAAGAAAGAAAGAAAGAGAGGGAAGGAAGGAAGGAAGGAAAGAAAAGAAAAAGGAAAGGAAGGAAGGAAGGAAGGAAGAGAAAGGAAGGAAGGAAGGGAGAAAGGAAAGGAAGGAAGAGAGAAAGAAAAAGAAAGAAAGAAAGAAAGAAAGAAAGAAAGAAAGAAAGAAAGAAAGAAAGAGGGAAGGAAGGAAGGAAGGAAAGAAGAAAGAAAGGAAAGGAAAGGAAAGAAGGAAGGAAAGAAAGAAAAAAGAGGGAAAGGAAAGTAGGGAGTGATGAAGGAAGGAAGGAAGGAAGGAAGGAAGGAAGGAAGGAGGAAGGAAGGAAAGGAAGGAAGAGAGAGAAAGAAAAAGAAAGAAAGAAAGAAAGAAAGAAAGAAAGAGAGAAAGAAAAGAGGAAGGAAGGAAGGAAAGGAAGGAGAGAGAGAGAAAGAAAGAAAGAAAGAAAGAAAGAAAGAAAGAAAGAAAGAAAGAGAGGGAAGGAAGGAAGGAAGGAAAGAAAAGAAAAAGGAAAGGAAGGAAGGAAGGAAGGAAGAGAAAGGAAGGAAGGAAGGGAGAAAGGAAAGGAAGGAAGAGAGAAAGAAAAAGAAAGAAAGAAAGAAAGAAAGAAAGAAAGAAAGAAAGAAAGAAAGAAAGAGGGAAGGAAGGAAGGAAGGAAAGAAGAAAGAAAGGAAAGGAAAGGAAAGAAGGAAGGAAAGAAAGAAAAAAGAGGGAAAGGAAAGTAGGGAGTGATGAAGGAAGGAAGGAAGGAAGGAAGGAAGGAAGGAAGGAAGGAAGGAAGGAAGGAAGGAAGGAAGGAAGGAAGGAAGGAAGGAAGGAAGCCCCTGAATTTCTCCAGCTCTGGGATAACATTAGGGGGAGACTAGCTAGGCATTTGCTTCGTTAGAAAGCAAAGCTGCAGGGGGGGGGACTTTGGTGGGCAGGGAAGTCTTCTCAACTCTCTCCTTCTCCTTCTCCAGGTTGACGTCACCCCTGGGGACAGCTGGGCTTTGGGGGACCCCGGAAGCAGGAATGGCCCGGGTGCCACACCTTGACCACGGCTCTACAGGTAACAAGGATCTGTGCCTGGTGAAAACGGAGGTTTCAGAAATGAAAAATTAACTGCAGCTCCAAAAACTCAGAAATCTGGCAATAATGGAGCGGAGCCGTCCTTGGAAGGGCCTGTCCTGCAAAAGGGGGGGGGGGCTTTGCCAGCCACTCTGCCAGCGAGGTGGGCAGGTGGGCAGCAGCCGAGGGCCGTGCCCTACTCACTTCGGAGAGTAAGGCGCTCTGTGCTCGTCTTGTGCAGAGGCTTCTGGGGAGGAGAGCAAGGGCGGGGCCAGTGGCCAGAGTCTCGGGAGCAAGGGGGGGGTGTGGGGGGTCAGGGGGCAGTTCCAGCTGGGGGGACAGGATCTCCAGTCCAACACAACACCCCTTGAACTGAAGTACCGGTTCCTTCCTTCCTTCCTTCCTTCCTTCCTTCCTTCCTTCCTTCCTTCCATAACAGAATGAAAGGTACCCTGGAGGTCATCTAGTCCAACCCCTTGCTCAAGCAGGAGACCCTATACCGTTTCAGACAAATGGGTGTCTCTTTTTGAAGGAGGTGAAGGTCATTTCCAGTATCTCAGGGGCTGCCCCAAAGAAGAGGGAGTCAAGCTCTTCTCCAAAGCGCCTGAAGGCAGGACAGGAAGCAACGGGTGGAAACTCATCAAGGAGAGAAGCAACCTAGAACTAAGGAGAAACTTCCTGACAGTGAGAACAATTAACCGGTGGAACTCCTTGCCTCCAGAAGCGGTGGATGCTCCAACACTGGAAGTTTTTAAGAAGAGACTGGACAGCCATTTGTCCGAAATGGGTCTAGGGTTTCCTGCCTGAGCAGGAGGTTGTACCAGATGACCTCCAAGGTCCCTTCCAACTTTATTATTATTATTATAAGGGGTCTTCCCCCCCCCAAGACACGATACACAGTTACCCCCAAGCATTCATGTTGTCCCCGCTTGGTTTCCAGGACTGGCTCGCCCTGTCTTGTACCCGGATCAGGATCAGGGCGGGGAGAAGATGCCTTATTCGGTGGAAACCCCCTACGGCTTCCTGCTGGATCTAGACTTCCTCAAGTACGTGGACGACATCGAGAGAGGCCAGACCCTCCGGAAGTTGCCCCTGCATCGCAAAGCTAAGGGGTCCAAGCCAGCCCAGAGCTCCCCCCGCAGCCAAATGGGGGGCTGGGCCTCCACCGAGTCTCTCTCGTCCGCGACCAGTGAGGACGGCAGACCCGCCTTCTCCTCACGGCCCCGAACGGCTTCCTACGACACCAAGGACCTCACAGGCAAAAACGGCTCCTTTCCGACGTCTCCTGCTCCCACAGCCCAGCTTCTCCCCCCGGCTTCTCCCGATTCAGTGGGGAGAGGAGGCAGACGGGTCGAAACGACCTTGCTGGAGACCAGCAGGAGACTGGAGGAGGCACAGCTGAGTTTGCTGACTGGTGGGGGAGGCGCACCGTTCAAGAGGACAACCGGCCCTTCCAGAGAGAGCATGTGTCCCCCCAATTCTGCTTCCTTTCTGTCCGGGGACAGCCAGGCTGAGCCCGTGAAGACAAGCCCCCCTAATTCGGGAAGGAGCACTCCGGTTCCGGCAGTGAGCCCCGCACACCTCCATCACGTCCGGGAGCAGATGGCCGCGGCTCTCAAACAGCTGAAGGAGCTGGAGGAGCAGGTGAAGGTGATCCCCTTTCTGGAGGAGCAGATCTGCCAGCTGAAGCAGGAGAAGGAGCAGCTGGTGGCTGGCTTGGGGGAGAAGGTGGAGGTTGAAGCTGGCCAGCCAGGGGTCTTCTGCTTCCCCCCAAGACAAGCCCTCAAAGATGGGGCTGCCTGTCTGGACACAGGAGGGCCCCAGGCTATCCAGGAGGTGCAGACTGAGAGCGAGGTGACCAAAGGAAGATCAAGTAAGATCGCAGAGCTGAAAAAACTGACCGAGCGGCTGACCGGTCCAGAGAGGGCTGGGAAGAGCAGAGGAGGGGCCCGGCCGCCAAGAGCAGAGCAGCCCGGCCAGAGGTCCATCGGAGTTGGGGAGGAGGTGGATATGAGTGAACTCGTTTGCTACTACCAGAGTCAAAGACCGTGCCGGGAAGTGGCCGTTGGGTGCGAGACTGAGACCCGCGACGCAGAGGTGTGGGTGATGGAGTCCTTCCTTGGGGTGTCGTCGGCCACAGAGGAGGAGATGCAGCTGGTGCAGCACAGGGTCCAGCACCAGCAGGCCGTGATTGCCATGCTGGAGGGACACCTGAAGGAGGCCACCGAGGAACTGGAGGAGCTGCGGGTGGAGGTGTGCTCCCGCAGGCCAGACAACCTGGTCAGCCAAGCGACCTTGGTGTATCCAGAGACAGCCGATGTTTGCGTGGAGGCCGTGCCACCCACCCGGTGCCAGGCTGTGGGCAGCCACGTGGAAACGGCGGAGGTCAGCGTCCAGAGCTTTCTGCAAGTGTCCCATGTAGGAGTCGGTTGCAACTTGCAAGGCGAATCAAGTGCGGAAGCAAAGCCCACCCAGGACTCACAACAGAAAACGCCACTGACTTCACCGGGGACGGAGCACACAGGCCAAAATGGCCACCTCGAGTGCACAGCAGCAATGCCAGGGAGCCTTCCCTGTGGCACAGCTGGGGAGGGGTCCAGATCAGAAGACGCCAGGCCTCCCACAGGCAGCAAGGAAGGGACGCTGGTCCAGCTGGCACTGCAGACCACAGAGGGAGAAGCGGATGCTGGCCCACCTTTGCCCCTGAGGGTGGGCAGCCAGGACAGCCAGGAGCCAAACGGGGCAGAGGGGGTCTCAGGGGCTGGTGAGTGCCACTGTCACGTGCAGCACACAAGGCTGGGCTACTCCAGGGTGGCTGCCAAGCTGAGAACCCCACCCCTGTCCTTCGTCAGTTGAGGGTTTCTTAAGATGCACGTTCACGACGTAGCTACAAATCTGTCTTGCAGCCTCTGAAAATGTAGGGAAGAAGCTTTCCTCCCCACAGAGACCCCAAACCACAAATACACATACGCACACACACACACACACAAACACACATCAGGCTCAGGAGAAGGGCCAGATTACTCATTGTAGGCATCTCTTCCCTGTGGGCCAGAGCTTCTGGCATTATACAAACGGCGCCTGGTCTGCCTTGGACACTCGATGCTTTAGGATAGTGTTTCCCAAACTTGACAATTTTAAGGCGGGACTAGAAGTTGCTGGCTGTGGAATTCTGGGAGTTGAAGTCCTCATGCCTTAAAATTGTCAAGTTTGGGAAACACTGCTTTAGGACAGTGCTGTTCAGCAATTTGGCACTACGCAGCTTGCTCCAGGAGAGCATACGGGGAGCGGGGAGGACAAGAACATTTGTGTGTGTGTGTGTGTGTGTGTGTGTGTGTGTGTGTGTGTGTGGTGGGGCTTCTGGGACCAGGCCTGGGGGGGGGAGTTCTCAATCTGGCCCTATCCTCAACCCCTGAAGCCTGGAGTCTCGGTGGGAGCTGCAGGACGAGCTGATCCGAATAACCATCTGAGGCCAACCTTGCAGGGGTCCCCGTTGTCCTTGGAAGGACCACTTTGGGTGGGCCCCACGCGGCCCCAATTGCACAACACCCCAGAGCTGAAAGGGGCCGATTGGGCCTGGAAGCGCAGAGTCCCACGGCACCATTTTGAACCTCGTTAAAAGGGGGCCCATCGGTGCCTTGTGCAAAGGCAGTCACTGGGTGTGGGTGTTTGATGAGGGGGGAGGACGAGCGCCCCTCCTTGAAAAGAGAGTTCCAGGATGGCTGAAGCACTGCAAGGGTCTCTCCCAGCTTTGGATCAAAGGTGGGTCCCTGGGGGTCTCTCGTCTCCAAGAATCCCACCCTTCCCCACCCCGGTCTTTACCGCTTCCAGAAGAAACTTGTGGGGTGGGGGGCATAGTTGGAATGGCGTCTTCCCTGGGGGAGAGGGGCCCAAACACCACATCTGTCTGCCCTCAGTTTCCTGGGCATGTTTGGGATAGTAGTTCTGGTGCTGGCCTAGAACCCAGGAGGCAGCGAGTTCTAGTCCCGCCTTAGGCATGAAAGCCACAGATGGGGTGACTTTGGCCCAGTCACTCTCTCTCTCAGCCTAACCTACCTCTCAGGGTGGTTTATTTATTTATGAGACTTATATACCGCTTTAAGTGCAAGCACTCTCTAAGCGGTGTACACTAGTAAGCAATGTATATATATATATATTTACATTGCCCCCAACAATCTGGGTCCTCATTTTACCTACCCCGGAAGGAGGGAAGGCTGAGTCAACCTTGGTTGTGGGGAAAAGAGGAGACGGGAGCATCTTGTGCCATCGGAAGTTACCGTCTGTGAAGTACGGGTTATGATGAAGTAGCACCATTACTGAACACAATGACCTACAAGCCGGTCATTTGGGGTGCCCGGAAACCTGCTCACACTTGTGACCAATTGCAGCACCTCTGCGGTCACAGGACTGCCATTTGCACCCTTGTCCGCTGCCTTCCCCCCAAGAAAAGTCACCCCAAGTTGCTGGAGTAAACCCATCCCCAGTCTTTCTTTGCTTGTACGTGCCCTCCTTCCCTCCCCCCCTTTGATCGCACACCCCACACCTCCCTGTGCACATACACACACACACACATGCACCTTCCACCCTATCTCTGCCTCCCTGTAGTCCAGTGGTTCTCCACCTGTGGGTCGGGACCCCATTTGGGGTCGAACGATCATTTCACGGGGGTCGCCAAACAACGCAGTCCGCCATTTTTTCCCCCTTTTCCTTAGCTGTGCTACTCCCTTTTATTCTATTGGCTTTTGAAAGCCAATAGAATCAGACTCTCTTGAATAGAGTCTCATTCGATTGGCTTTCCAAAGCCAATAGGAATGGTCCAGGCTGTCTCTGCCCTGCTGAGCCCGCCAAAAGTCCCAGTCTGCAAACGATGCTGCGCCAGTTGAGTAGGCTTACGACCGGTTGAGTAGTCCTCGACTTACGACCGGTTGGGGGTCGCGGCATTAAAAAGCTTGAGAACCACTGCTGTAGTCACATGCATGCATCCCATGTCTTCACTCCCCAGCCTTTCTGACCCCTCCCCTGATTTAGAGGTGGCCTCCCCCACTGCCCTCTGGCACCCCAACCTGGGACTTCCTCGGCTGCCCACTTAGGGAGCCCCTGCATCTTGGTTTATGACAGTGTTTCTCAACCTTGACCATTTTAAGGCATGTGGACTTCAACTCCCAGAATTCCACAGCCAGCAATGCTGGCTGTGGAATTCTGGGAGTTGAAGTCCACATGCCTTAAAATGGTCAAGTTTGGGAAACACTGGTTTATGACAACAACCGGGAACTGCCAGGATTGCTGTCATTAGCAATGCAGCCCCCTGCTTTACGACTGCTTAACGATGGCAACCCCAGCCCCAACGGCAGTCGTAGTAATTCGAGGACTATGTGTAAAGGCAGGGTATGCATCTCGGAATAACAAAATAACCATCATCACCATCGTGAGGGTCCTCTCCTCCCCTCCTTCCCCCCTCCTCCGCCCCCCCCCTTTCCTCTGCAGGTGCCCTGAAGTCAATAATGAAGCGGCTGGACAGCCCGGCCAAGGCAGAGCCGAGGGGCAGCGGGAAGAAGACCCTCCAGTTTGTGGGCCTCCTGAATGGCGAGTACGAAACCGTTCCTCTCCTTTGAGCGGGAGAAAAAACCGAGGGGTGGGCCGACTGTGGGGCCCCCCCCTGCACCATTGGGGGAGGGGGAAGAGGATGTGGCCGATGGTCTGTCTGCTCAGTTTTGCTCCCAAATCCTTGGAAACGCCAATTCATCCATTCTACCTCCTTATTTATTTATTTATTTATTTATTTATGAGATTTATATACCGCTTTAAGTGCAAGCACTCTCTAAGCGGTGTACACCAGTAAGCAATGTATATATATATTTACATGGACCCCAACACTCTGGGTCCTCATTTTTACCTACCCCGGAAGGAGGGAAGGCTGAGTCAACCCTGAGCCGGTGAGATTTGAACCGCTGACCTGTTGAACACAGTCAGCTAAAGTGGCCTGCAGTACTTGCACTCTAACTGCTGCGCCACCTCGGCTCCTTGCGATCGAGCCTCCATGACAGAGGCAGTCTACCCCCAAACGCCGGAACCCTGATCTGGAATACACAGCTGGGCCCTTCCTAGGGGAGTGGGGAGCACCCGAGGGGTGGGACTGAATAGAACCAGGCTTAGGAAGAGACCTCCACCCACAGCAGGTCCCGGGGAAACTAAATGGAGCCTCCTTGTTCAGGAGCAGCCACCTCTGTGAGAGGATTAGCATCTTGCTTTGGCCTCTTTGCCCTGCTTGTGGGGTTCTGGATGGGATTGTGGGGGGGGGAGGACAAGATGTGAGCCAGGGATCACATGGGGGGGGGCGTGGCGGGTAGCCAAGGGTCCTGGCCTTCCTCTGACGCCCTCTCTCGTGGCAGGTATGAGAGCACCTCTAGCGAGGAGGAGGAAGAGGAGGAGGAGGAGGATGGGTCCCCGGGAGAGGAATCTCTCCACGGCTCCTTCAGCGAGACCATCGGCAACCCCGGTGACTTGGGGGGCGATGTTGCTGCCAGCCCAGATGTCAGCGACAGCGAGGAAGAGGAGGGGAGCCCGGTCTCAGAGGCAGCTGCGCCTGGCCAGCCACGGCTGGACTCTGACCCGGAAGACGCTGCCGGACAGGCAGAAGCCACTCCCAAGGTCAAAGAGAGGTAAGACCATTTCCCAAGGTGAAGGACCCCAGACCCGTTTCCGGACCTTTCTTGCTGGGAATGGTCTGGATTCTCCCACCACCACCCCCCCACTGCACCCCTAGGCTCTGAAGAGGGAGGGGCGGCTACGGTCCTCCCCCTTCCCCAAATTATAGACCTGCCCTTCTTCCAGTCTCAGTTCCTCCAGTCTGTAAAATGGGCGCATCCCATTGCAGAGGATGCTGGTGAGGCAGGAATCATAGTAGAAGCCCCAAAGAACACACATCCTTCCCACAACCAGCTGATTAGGGAATTCTGGGAGTTGAACTCCACCCGTCTTAAAGGAGCCAAAATTTAGAAATTTTGGGCTGGATGATACAAAAGTCATTTCCAGCCCATTGAGAGTCTGAAGGCCTGTCGGAAAAAAGCTGTCCTGTTCTGGATCGTCAGTCATCTGAACTAAAATCTGGAAAAAAAATGTTAAAAATCTAAAATAATCTAAAGTAAAATTTAGGGGAAAATGTTAAAATCTAAAATGACCTGAACTAAAATCTGGGAAAAAAAATGTTAAAAATCTAAAATAATCTAAACTAAAATCTGGAAAAAATTGTTTAACATCTAAAATGACCTGAACTAAAATTTGGAAAAAATGTTTAAAATACTCTGAACTAAAATCTGAAAAAAAAATGTTAAAATTTAAAATGACCTGAACTAAAATCTGGAGAAGCTTTAAAATCTAAAATAACTTCAGCTAAAATCAGAAAAAAAACTTTAAAATTTAACTTTAACTTTAAGCATCGCTCAAAAGCAGAAGAAGGGAGCCCTGGCTTTGGGGAGATCAGAGAAGTGGGGGAGGGCTCCTCTGTTTCCACCCCCCACCCCCAAAAGCAAGAGGCACAGGTTACGTTTCGGGGGGGGGGTTGCAGAACCATTAAGCTGGAAATGGACAGTCCTGGTTTTGCAAATCCATCTTGAGGTGCCGGTCAGTTTTCTTGGCACCATGCTGGCTGTGTCGTGTCCCCCAAAGAGCCGCTCGGCTGGCTGACCCCCCCCCCTTGGCTTCTCTGGCAGGTTTGAGCTGAGCCCGTGGATACGAGAGGCCTGCCTAGTGGTGTGGACCCATCTGGGCCAGGGCCGAGGGGCCCCAAAGAGCAAAGAGCTGGTGAGTAGCCACAGGAGCCGGACCTTGGCTTTGGGGGAGGCGGAAGAGCTGGCAAAGAGTGGGACTTAACTCCGTGTCTGGCAGAAGCTGCACACCACATCCCAAATTAATTCAATCTGCTTTCCCACTTTTGGGGGGGACAGTTCGTGCTGGCCACCCCGGGGCTGATTTGCCCCCAAACTGGCCCACACGGGCTGGCAGTAGTCTTCTGACCCACGAGGTTCCCTCCCCGTCTGTGGGCGCAAAGGGAGCCCCAGAAGCTGAAACTTCCTGCGAGGTGGGGGGCTGGAGGCGAGGCGTGTCCGCCTTGACCTCTGCCCCGCTTGGTCCCCCAGCGGTCCAGCAGCAGCCTGGTCCTGCAGGAATGGTTCCGAGTGTCCAGCCAGAAGACCTCCCGGGCCAGCAAGGTGGGCAAGTACCTGCAGGCCTTTGCCGAGCTCTCCCCAGCGCTGCTGGCCCACGTCATCAACCTCTCCGACGGCAACGGGAACATGGCGCTGCATTACAGCGTCTCCCACTCGAACTTCGACATCGTCCGGCTCCTGCTTGACACAGGTGACCCCCCCGGGGTTTGGGGGGGGACTTAAATTGATTCAAGCCCTCGGGTACGCTTATGACCGCAGTGGGGACTGGAACTTCCATTGCTAAGTGAGGCGGTCGTTCAGCAAGTCACGCCCAATTTTTACGACCTTTTACGGTCAGGGTCATTGAGCAAAGCACAGTCAATAAGCAAATCTGGCTCTCTGCACCGATTCTGCACATCTGGACGGTCACAAACGGCGGTCGTGCGAACCTGGGATGCCGCAACCATCCTAAGCATGAGAACTACTTGCAAGTCCCTTTTTGCAGCGCTGTTGCGACTTTGAACAGTTGCAAGTATGGGTCCAGCCAGGAGAGGGGCTGTCTCAGTCTGGGGCTGCACAGGGGCTGGTATGGGGGGGGGCAGAAGTGTCACAACCGCCTTCCTCAAATCTGCCCTCTGTATGGGGCAGCTCAGAGGATGCAGCTCAGAACTGGAAGGGATCTTGGAGATCTTCTAGTCCCACCCACCCACCCCCCGTTCAAGCAGGAGACCCATTCCAGACAAATGACTGTCTAGCCTCTTAAAAGCCTCCATTAATGGAGCACCCACAACTTCTGGTGGCAAGCTGTTCCACTGGTTAATTGTCCTCACTGTCAGGAAGTTTCTCCTTAATTCCAGGTTGCTTCTCTCTTTGGTCAGTTTCCGACCGTTGCTTCTCCTACTGCCCTCTAATGCTTTGGAGAGTAGATTGACCCCCTCCTCTTCTTTGGGGCAGCCTCTCAAATACTGGAAGACTGCTAAAAGCTTCTCTAAAGGCCAGTGCACAGGATCAGCCCCACATGTCCAACTGGCCCCTAAACAGACCAGAATTGAAGCCTCATTCTCCCCCCACCCTCAAAAAAGCCCCTTTCCACCAGTCTCACCTTAACGACTTCCCAGTTAGTGGAAACCAGAAAGGCCGCTCAAAGTTGGTGGTGGGACCTTCTGACCCCTCATTTCCTCATCTCCAATTTCTGCCCCCCCCCAAATAAGGTGTCTGCAACATCAATCACCAGAATAAAGCAGGCTACACGGCCCTCATGCTGGCCGCGCTGGCCACCATGGAGCGACAGGACGACATGGCCGTGGTCCGACGACTGTTCGACCTGGGCAACGTCAACGCCAAGGCCAGCCAAGTAGGTATCTTGGGGGGGGGGACAAGAGGGCTCCCTTCTCCTGGGATGGACCCCAGGGGGTTCAACAGGAAGCGGGGGGCACCCTGGACATGCTCGGAAGCACTCTCTCCGAAAGCAAAGCCCTTGTCCGCGTTTCCACTGGGGTTGCAGGCCGGCCAGACGGCGTTGATGCTGGCAGTCAGCCACGGAAGGCTGGAGATGGTGGAGGCCCTGCTGGCGTGTGGGGCAGACGTCAACCTGCAGGATGAGGAGGGCTCCACCGCGCTCATGTGCGCCTGCGAGCACGGCCGGGCAGAAACTGTGCAGCTGCTTCTGGCGCAGCCAGCCTGTGACGCTTCCATCGCGGATCACGTGAGTTGCTGCCTCCTTGTCTCAAGCTGCTAGTCCTCAGTATTGCAATATCCTCACCCAAACCTAACAAACCCAATAAACTTTTGCTCTTTGTAGACACCAATTTGGAATCTATTTTTTTTTAAGCTTGCCTAACAAGCTGTGATGTCGACTTTACGGGCACAGTGGCTGCTTTATAACCGTCACAAAAATGGTCATAAAATTGAGTCTGTCACACAGGTGACATGCTTTACGGCCATCGCGGGCAGACTCCATTATGGTGGTAACTCAGGTTCTTCCTGAACAATTATATCAGGAACCCCTTCCACCCCGTTTCTGTCCTGCCTGCGGAAGAGATCTCTCCGCCATGATTTAATCCACTAACCCAGGGGTAGGCAACCTTGGCTCTTTTATCACTCAGGATTTCAATTCCCAGAATTCCTGAGTGAGCACGGCTGGTTCAGGAATTCTGGGAGTTGAAGTCCACGAGTCATAAAAGAACCAAGGTTGCCTACTCCTGCATCTCACAAGGCAAGAAGAAAATGAAAATTACCTCAAATGCCTGAAAGTCATTAAAAGTTCGGCCATTCCGCGGTTCGAAATTCAAATAATGAAACAGCAGAATCAGAAAAATTTAAAAACGTTCAGCATTTTCATAAAAATTGGTACCAGACTCCTGTTTTGGCTTTTTTTGTTTGTTTGTTTTGGAAAGACAGGACTGTCCCTTGTGGTCCACCACCTCTTCCTTTCTTAACGCTTTCTTACAGGACGGGAATGACGCTGTGGCCATCGCCTTGGAGGCCGGACACGACAACATTGCGGCTCTGATATCCGCACACCTCACACAGTCTGCAGAGAGGTGAGTGCATCCCCTTTGCATGGCTCCAGCCCCGCCCCCCAGCCAGCGAGCCTCAGTTTCTCTGGAACTAAGATTTGTCATCTGTTAGAATCTGGACTTTATTTTTTTCTTTAAAGACGTTTTGCTTCCTCCAAGAAGCTTCTTCAGCTTCTGAACGGTGGGAAATGGAAAGATTTATGCTCCTTGCAGACAGCTGGTCGTTTGCCTTCTCTCAGAGAGTCGTTGAGACCACTTGGAGATTTGTCTGTGTCCTCAGGGTCCAAGTGGCCTCAACAGCTCTCCAAAAGAAGGCAAACGGCCAGCTGTCTGCAAGGAGTATAAATCCTTCCCTTCCCCGCCATCCAGTCGGAGCTGAAGAAGCTTCTGGGATGAGGAGCGAAACATCTTCAAAGATAAAACAAGAAAGTCCAGTTGCCTCCTGAAAAAGCACCTTGGGTCATCTGCTAGAGGTTGATTTCAACCTGCGCAGGGAAATTGGCGCACAACAGACACAAGCAAGATGGCCGAGAGCAGGCCCAAAAAGCCGCTGTTTTAGAGAATGCCAGCTCCCGCCTGCTTCAGCCTCGGTTTACCTAATTCTGGGGTCCTCAACCTTGGCAACTTTAAGACTTGTGGACTTCAACTCAGGTTCAGGAGGTGCCATGAAAACAAGCTATAGAAGAGGGGGGGAGAGTTTGCAGCCTGTTCAGCAATTGCTGTCAACACTGCTAACATCGGATGTTCTTGCTTTGACAACATATGGAGATGCAGCCATTTTCCTTCTTATGTTTTACTTAGAATTAGATGATAGGGGAATTAGATGATGGGGGGGGGAGGAATGTGCATGGGAGTTTAGTCAGACATAACAATATTGTAACTAGTGTGAGAACCAAGGTTTTTAAAATAAGAGAGGGTAAGAAATGGCGGGCTGAAGAACTGGAGGGAAAGCCTGCATTTCAAACGAATTGGAGAATGTGATTTATGACTGTTAATTGGAGGAGGGAATTGTGGTTTGATACTTTGTGCTCAGGGGAGGGGAATTCAGATTTTGGCTTGGCCTACGTACGTGCCGATGCTATGCTACTCGAATAAAGATTCTTTAAGGTAAACAATGCCTCGAAGTTCTTTGAAGAGTTTCCTCTGTAGGAACCATGACAATTGCTTGCATCTCTGTTCATAGGCCGGGACCGTGACAGTATTCTTCTGTGACCCTAAGCCGCTTCGGCACTCGAACCGTCCCATCTGCAACAACCAAAGACGAAGCCCGCCATTCCCAGAAGACGCTTCCTTCACCATCATGAACCTCTCTGTTCACACGCTCCCCAGGCTGACGCTTGGGATCCCTTTGGGGTGAGGCTCACCCTGGGCCGGCTTCACTATTTGGGGCCACCTGGTCAAGCTTACAGGGTCCTCAGGAAGCCATCAGGGAAAAGCAATGACCTGTTTTATTGCGGCCTGCAAAATTCTTGCTCTGCACATGGAGAGGACAGCAGCGCTTGGGGGCAAAGGCCTCTTCCAAGTGGGGGGGGGGAGAGGGGGCATCTGCCAGGCAAACCTCCAACTGTAACCAAAACTGGTAACAGGGTGTAGCGCCCCATGAGGACTAGAAACTACCTATCCAAATTTTTATCTCACTAGAATAAAATTTTGTTAACACTTTTATTCCTGTCTCACACGATTCCTAGTTGGGGAATAAAACTTGGGAGGAAGCAGAGGATGTTGTGCTTTTCAGGCAATCCATCCTGGGACGTCTGGCATAAAATATTCACGTGGCCCTCTGGGTCTCGTTTTTAAAGATGGCTCCAGCCTCATTTGAGAGGATTAGCACCCAAAAGAAATAGGATTGAGACAGGTGGTGGTCGGGGCAATTTACAAATGAACTTGTTAACATTCAGCGAAAGACTACAAATAAAACTCCAGGTTCAGTCCGTTTGTGGGAATCTTAACTCTTTATTGAGTACACGGCATGGTGATGCTGAAGCAAAACTAACTCTGAGGTTCCCAGACACCCATTTCTCCAGCCAAATCCCCAACTTCTTGGTTATGGGAACCGTCTGCTTCTTCTCCACACCTGCTGCGGTGTCCTTGGAAAGGGTTCAGGCTCTCACAGACTTCATCGGAATCGGAGGGGTTTTGTTTATCCATCTAACCCATTCTAAATAGCAATACCTCTGTCCCCTTACTCTAATGGCAAGCTGAAAGGTAGAGGAAGAGGCACCTAGCTGCCAAAGTTTCATTCTTGATAGAACGAAGTTGGAGCAAGCCTTTGACTTGCCATCTGTCGGAGTCACGGCAGACCCCCCAAAAGCTAATTATGACCCAGTTCCAAAGATCTAATGGCCATTGCTGTCACCACCTCGCAATCACATGACATTTTGGGGGCTCAGCAACCACTCTTCATTTGCAGCACCCCACACCACAGGACCTGTTTATGACGTTTTTGCTGAAAACAGGCATTTACTTCACATTTTTCTGGCAAAAAAAAAATGCCCCATAGCAAACAAGGGCATCACTAACCATCCCGCTTAACTGCGTGCAGTCATTTAACTGACATTTGCTTAATGACTGCCACAAAATAGTCGCAAAATTGGGTCAGATATATGACTCATTTTATGAACATCACAACTTCTAGAGGCAGGTTGTTCCACTGGTTACAATCTGCCTCTAGAAGTGGTGAATGCTCCAACACTGGGAGTTTTTTAAGAAGAGACTGGACAGCCATTTGTCCGAAATGGTATAGGGTTTCCTGCCTGAGCAGGGGGTTGGACTAGATGACCTCCAAGGTCCCTTCCAGCTCTATTCTGATTATACTTCCTATATTCCACTGAACTAATTTTCTAAAAAAGTAATGACAAAGTAGCCATTACAAACCGGTATCCATATCATCCTGCCATTTTAAATGGAGACCCTCCTACAGGTCAGAGTTGCCCTATACCTCCCCCCAAAGGGTACCAGCTAGGTGTGCCCCCTCAGCTTTTCCAATAAAGACAAATCCACTGAGCAAGCAGCTTTGTGAAGCTTTGATGTCACACAAGGAGGTGACACTGCTACAAACAGTGGGCCTCCTTCCTTCCCAGACTGGTGTCCAGACATGTGTTGACAGCTCCCGAGGCTGAAAGCCAGCATTTCTGGAGAATGATAGGTTGGAGAAGGCAACATTACTGAATGTGCCAAAAATTAGGAGCACGCTAGTAACACCCTTTCCAGCCAACAAATGAATGTCGTGAAAGGCTAGAAATGTTTGCGAGCTGGTGCCTTTTAATAAAGTGTTATTAATAAAGGAGAATATTTCTAGTTCAGGGTTGATGGTGCTCTGAGCTGGCTTGTTTTCTTGCAGACGTTTCATGACCCAAACATCATCAGTGCTAAATGCAATAGTAGTAGTAGTAGTAGTAGTTAGTAGTTAGTAGTAGTAGTAGTAATAATAATAATAATAATAATAATAATAATAATAATAATAATAAAAAGTTGGAAGGGACCTTGGAAATCATCTTAGTCCAACCCCCTGCTCAGGCAGTAACCCTACACCAGTGGTTCTCAACCTGTGGGTTGGGACCCCATTTGGGGTCAAACGACCATTTCACGGGGGTCGCCAAACAACGCAGCCCGCCATTTTTTTCCCCCTTTTTCTTGGCTGTGCTACTCCCTTTTATTCTATTGGCTTTTGAAAGCCAATAGAATAGATTCTCTTGAATAGTCTAATTCTACTGGCTTTCAAAAGCCAATAGGAATTGTTCAGGCTGTCTCTGCCCTGCTGAGCCCGCCAAAGGTCCCATTCTGCAAACAGTGCTGCACCAGTTGAGTAGTCCTCGACTTACGACCGGTTGAGTAGTCCTCGACTTACGACCGGTTGGGGTCGCGGAATTAAAAAGGTTGAGAACCACTGCCCTATACCATTTCAGACTAATAATAATAATAAAGTTGGAAGGGACCTTGGAGGTCATCTAGTCCAACCCCCTGCTCAGGCAGGAAACCCTATACCCATTTCAGACAAATGGCTGTCCAGTCTCTTCTTAAAGACTTCCAGTGTTGGAGCATTTACTGCTTCTGGAGGCAGGTTGTTCCACTGGTTAATTATTCTGTCAAGAAGTTTCTTCTTAGTTCTAAGTTGCTTCTCTCCTTGATGAGTTTCCACCCGTTGCTTCTCTTCCTGCCTTCAGGGGCCTTGGAGAATAGCTTGACTCCCTCTTCTTTGGGGCAGCCCCTGAGACATTGGAACACTGCTATCATGTCCTCCCCCCAACCGTCCTTCTCTTCAATGGCTGTCGTCTCTCCTTAAAAACTTCCAGTGTTGATAATTATCAATGTTACAGTTCTCCAAAGCAGCAGAGGGCAGTAGGAGAAACAACAGTTGGAAACTGACCAAGGAGAGAAGCAACCTGGAATTAAGGAGAAACTTCCTGACAGGGAGGACAATCAACCAGTGGAACAGCTGGCCTCCAGAAATCGTGGGCGCTCCATCACTGGAGGTTTTTAAGAAAAGGCTAGACAGTCACTTGTCTGAGGTGGTATAGGTTCTCCTGCTTGAGTAGGGGGCTGGACTAGAAGACCTCCAAGGTCCCTTCCAGCTCTATTCCATTATGTTACATAGTTTGGCTCATGAAACATCTGCACACTCAAGAGACCCCTCAATAAAACGTGAGTCAGAAAAGGCACCACCCAATGATCCTCCGGTCGCTTCAGACTAACCTAGTCTGAAATCTCTCAACGAATGCTCCCCAGACAGGCCCTCTTGCCAGGAAACGCCACGGCTATCCAAAGGGAGAACCCAGATAAAGCGCCTGTGTGGTGGGCATGGAAAGCCTCTCAAAGGAAGACCTAAGGGGAGAAGCCCAGTTGCAGCGAGGACTCAAGCAGTCAGGAAACGGTCCCATTTGCTGGCTCCGTTAATAATAAATAATATTGGAAGGGACCTTGGAGGTCATCTAGTCCAGGGGTCTGCAACCTTGACAACTTTAAGACTTGTGGACCTCAGCTCCCAGAATTCCTCAGCCAGCTTTGCTGAGGAATTCTGGGAGCTGAAGTCCACAAGTCTTAAAGTTGTCAAGGTTGCAGACCCCTGATCTAATCCAACGTCCTGCTCAGGCAGGAAACCCCATATACTATTTGAGACCAATGGCTGTCCAGTCTCTTCTTTGGTCTCCTCTTTTGGGGAGGAGCTCCACTGTCAAATGGGGGTTCTTGAAGCCATCCCTCAAGAAGGAGATCCAGTTTGGGAACAGCTCCAGAGATGAGCATCTAATCCAGTGTTTCTCAACCTTGACCATTTTAAGGCATGTGGACTTCAACTCCCAGAATTCCACAGCCAGCAGTGCTGGCTGTGGAATTCTGGGAGTTGAAGTCCACATGCCTTAAAATGGACAAGGTTGAGAAACACCGATCTAGTCCACGGGTGGGGAACCTTGGCTTTTAGGACTCGTGGACTTCAGCTCCCAGAATTCCTGAGTCAGCACGGCTGCCTCAGGAATTCTGGGTATTGAAGTCCACAAGTCCTAAAAGAGCCAAGGTTGCCTATCCCTGACCCAGTCTAAAACCCTGCACACTGGGCCGCTTAAACCATCCTTGGGAGGTAGAGAGGAAGAACCCACCAACCCCTTTAAGGAAAGAGGGAGGCAGTTCTTAAAACATTTCAGCACCAGCAGGTGTTTCTACGATGCTCCTCCCAAAACAGCCCACCACTTTTCTGTAAGGCTGCAAACCCCACGGGAGACCCAGCCCAGCATTGCAGACCCAGAGAGAGAGGGCCAGGCAGGGCAGAACGAGCAGCCCCCAGCTGGGAAGACCCCAGAAGCAATGTTTGCTACCCTCCCCAGCCGAGGGCTGCCAGCGTCCTCCCATCCCTGCTCCAACCAGGAGCCCAGGATGGCCTTTTGACCTGCCAGCAGCTTCTCTTTAGCACATCCAGGGGAGGGACCCTCCCCATTTCCCTTTTGGATGTCCAGGACCCACTCCCCACTCTTGGAAGCCTTTCTCAGCCTCCTTCCAGCTTCTCCAGCTCAATTCAAACCCTGCCTCTCTGTGGAAGACGGGACTTGGGTGTCCTCTGAATGCTCCCCTCCTCCAAAGCAACCTTTCCTGCAGAAGGCAGCTGGACTCCAGTTCCCAGAATCCTCCAGGCGCCATCATGACTGAGGCCCGCTGGGGTAGAGAGCGAGGGAAATCGCTGTTCAAGCATGCAGAAAAATCCACCTGAGGCCAAGTCAGAAACTTCCAGTCCCTGCTCCAATCAGAACCCCCAAAAGCCACCTGCCCTGCCACATCCAGCAATGGTGCCCCCTCTCCATTTCACCTTTGGACTGGCTGGACACGCTCCCATCCTTGGAGGGAGACCGTTCTCTGCCCCCTTAAAGCTCACTCCACACCAGGCCTCCCTGGAGGGCAAGATTCAGACTCTCCTCCCCTAGAACTAAATAGGAATTTCCTGGCAACGAGAACCATCAGCCAGAGGAAGAATGGCTTCCCTCCAGAAGCTGTGGGTGCTGCAACCCTGGAAGCGTTTAAAGAGAAACTGGACGGCCACCTGTCTGAAACGGTATAGATCAGGGCTTTTGAACCAGTGGTACGGGTACCACCTATGGTACATTAGCACCTGGCAGGTGGTACGCGACCATCCTAGAAAAGGGGTAGCAGGGGAGGGGAATGGGCTGAACCGATGGCAGCAC